ACTGGCCTGCCTGGGAGCAGGAGCTTGGAGGACTCCCCTGACCCGGCCAGGGATGGGTAGATAGGCATGGAGCAACAAAGCCATTTGCAAGGAGACTTAGAGCCATCTGAAGTCAACAGAAGATTTCCTGATGCTCATAAACCTTCTCCAGACACCTAACTGATGTGGAAGATGGACATTTGTGCTACAGCATTGTGGCCAGGGTGGTTTCTTCTAAGTTTTGAATGCTGAGATTTGCCTCAGTGAAATCCAGGAGTGCAAAGCAGAAGAGTCCATACAGGATTGACGCAAACGAAGTATTTGCCTTCGATCTTTGGCAAATTTTGCACCACTTTTCAGACCTCCATCCCAGCCACTCAGTAAAACCACAGGCATGCCTGCCTGGGAGATTATGCTTAAGAGCAGCTTCAGTTCTGAGTCACAAGGAGGGCTCTTGGTTTTAGTAGTGAAATAAGACTCCTACAGAAGAGGCTGGGATGTGGCAACATCTCCACTGTCAGAGCTGCTGCAAACCTGAGTGGAAAGGCAGCGTCCGCATTGCAAGGCATCCAACTGACTTTGAAATGGTGAATTCTTCACGCAGGCTTTGGTCTGTTGTGTTTGGTCCCTGGAATAATGGGGAGGAGGAGTACCTTCTCTAGTAGTGAGGTGTGGGCTGCCACAAAGGTGGTTTGGGTGAAGCCAAAGACCAAGTTGAGGATGGGAGGAGAGCAGGATGGACCAGTTGATGCATTTTAGAAAAATGTCACCTTGGAGGCTTCCTTGGTTTCACCTGTCTTTCATTGCCTCCTTCAGAAACACCAAGCGCACTGCGGAGGTGTGGATGGATGAATTCAAGCAGTACTACTACGCGGCTCGTCCCGCAGCCCAAGGGAGGCCTTATGGAAAGTAAGTGTCTTTCTCTGCTGCCTGTGCCCTGCCTGCTGCAGTGGGTGTTCATGGTGACATCGCCCTGCTGCGGAAACCTGCCTGCGTTGTTTCTGTAGTAACGCTCAATTAAATGCTAATGGTAGGCAGATGCTATGAGCACAGCAATGAAATATATAAACAGCTAGTTTATATGCTGTGCTAGTTTATCCCAGTGAGTGAACCAAATCGAGCTGGGGGAAACCCCCTCTGCCTATGTCTGCCCTTGGCATTAGGTACAAGTACTTCTAGTCCTAGAGCAGAGTTTGGGGGGGAGAGTCCAGAGGTCTTGCTGGCAGCTGAGGAGCAGGAAAATCACTAAATGCTGGGCCCGCTAAGGCTTTATTGGAAAGGAGCAAGTGCTTTGTATGCAGGGAGTTTGCCATTCATTCTGTGAACAGTCAGAAATGCCTCCCTGTCAGGAGGACTGTAAGTATTTGTGTTAATTTCTTATTTTCCTGTGCTCTTCCTTTCCTTAGAAAGTTTCCTTTGGACCACAGGGGGTTCCAAATCGAAACCCAAATTCCTTCTGGTTAGTCTTCAGTCTCCAGGATAAATAAATTGAAAACCTGGTGACTAACCTGTTTCCACTGAATTCATATCTTCTTCCCATCCGTCAACACTGAATGAAGTAACAGCTCTGTCCTGCTAAATATATGAGGGTGTAGAGAAGATGATAGCCTATGCGAAGGGAAGGTACTGGAGGCTTCCTACTGCTCTGTAGATGCCAGCTCGTAACAGCTCCACAGGTAGAGGCTGGCCCAGGGAGGAGCTGGAGTTTGGAAAATGTCACTATACAGCATGATCCCTCAGCAGAAATTTTGCCCTGGTTAATGAAAGAAAGAAGTATTTCACTGTGGGATTAACTTCTGACATAAAGGCGTGTTTAGGTGCTCTTAGAAATCAAGGCCTTCTGTAGTCCTGTAAACTAAGAGTAACTTATAATAGCATATGTTAATTTCCTAGTACATTAATATATTAAATAAATACTTAGTGCATATAGTAGATAGCATACATTTTTTTACTAATCATTTTTAAATGACTGTGCTTTTCCATGAACCTTTTCATCCACCAAACTCCAGGCTCCTTGTTAAAATGGCAATATGTCATCATGCCATTTTACCAAGTGAGACCTCCAAAGAGACAGAGATCAAAACAACCACCCAAGCTCATGCAGAAGACAGCAGAAAATAGAGCTGCTGATGCTCTTGTGTTTGCTGTCTGTGCGTATCTGTTGGGTCTCTCTCAGCCTCTCTTTTTGGTACGTTGGGTCTCACCTTCATGATTTCCATTGTATCTCTATGATATTTTCTTCTTACAGTGTCCAGAGCAGAGTGGAGCTGCGGACAAGGTTGAAATGCCACAGCTTCAAGTGGTACCTGGAAAACGTTTACCCTGAACTTCGGTATGGATGTGCGATCTCTGCCTGTCTCTAGCAGGCCAGCAGGATGCCCCATCCCTCCTGCCCCACAGAGCTTTCCTCTGCCCCTCCAGTCCCCACACCTCCCCCTGTCCCAGAGACACAGGCACCCCCTCCCTTGGGCTTCACAGAAGGGCATAGTGAATTTTGTGCTGGATTTGAACTGCTTGCACACAGTGTGACACGGTTCATTTGTGGTCCTGCTTTCTCTAAGCAGTCTTATAGACTCCGTGGCTCTTTGCTGCAGGGCTTGTGAGGGGCAAAGCACCAGTTACTTCTCTTAGCTTTTGGGGCTTCCTCAGGTATCCTTGTGCCCATGCTGCGGGACAGGTGGTATAGGGAAATAGCCATTTTTTCTTACAAAAGTATCCCAAGGTGAAAAATGCACTGTAGACTCTGGTGAGTTGTTTCAGTACATAATGACTCTTGCTTACAAAAAAAGCACCTAATTTCCAGTCCTCTCACGCTGTTCTGTGATACTCAAGACTCCTCTGTGGTGAAACCATCCACTCTAGGAGTTTATGACCTGTATTCAGGTGGCTCTGCCTTACTCCTAGCCTAGTGCTTTGCTTAATATGCACTTCCACAGTTGCTTTTGCGCAGATCCCTTTTAGTCACCAAAATTACTCCAGAAACCATTGCATCCATTCCCCTGGTCACTATCAGGAATCATCCTCAAAAAGGTTTTGGAGATACCTCCAAGGACCTGCTGATGCAATGGCTGAGTGCAGAATCACAGTGTGAAAATGATTTATAGCTGTTTTCTTGCTTTTTTGCCATGTGTGGCATTGCACAGGAGCATTCACAGGGAATGCCAGGGCTCTGTGGCAGTTTGTTATAAAGTTCCCCACTCCTGTAAGCTGAAGGCTGACCTTCAGCCTGCTCACAGTCTATTCCTTGCTCCTCTGTTTGCCTTGTGCAGTGTTATTTCTTTTTTCCTCTTAGAAAGGCCGGCCATCCATCTCTGAGTGCTGCTTCTGCAGTGTCCCTGTCCATGTACTACTCTCAGTAGTTCAGTATTGTAATAGATCTTGCAGCTCTCATTTTCTGAAGGTGAAATGGTGCAACTGCACCCTCCTTACCCCACTGAGCCTCCCTTTGAGTACTCCGTGTGCCTCGGGGAGTAGGGATGTTGTCTTCATGCTGTTCCTGCAGGATTCCCGAGGAATCACTCTATCAGACTGGGATGATCAGGCAAAGGCAGAGCTGCCTGGAGTCGCACAAGTCTGAAGCCCAAGAGTTCCCTGTCCTGAGCTTAAATCCTTGCATCAGCAGCAAAGGCACGGCAGGAACAGCACAGGTAAGACGTGTTGCTTATCCCCGTGATGCTGGCTGGAGAGAAGGCTCCAGGGCAGGTTCAAGGTGATTTCCTAAGTTTACTAAAGCTCTGTTGGAGGATTACCCATTCTGCCAGCCTCTTTCCTAAGGTAGCATGTAGTTAAACCCTGGTGAGCCCTCCTTACCTCAGTGGAGGCCCTGGGCAGCAGCAGGGACTGGTGCAGGACGCCACAGTACAGGGTGGACCGCTTATGTCTGTGCTAGCCTGTGCTGAGCGCTTACTGCTGCTCAGGAATGTCATGTGCAGTTCATCTGCAGAGATCAGGGAAAGACAGAGAGAACTATAATTTCCTCTCATCTTTCAGCCTTATTGCTTTCAAAATGCACTGAATCGCAATGGTATTTATAACTTCATAGTCTGCGTTCTCTCAATATTAGATTGCCCATTAAACTAGTGAGAATTTAATGAAGATGATCTTGGTTTTTTTCAATCTCACTGAGATGAAGAAAAGCTGTATGAATCTGTGTTCTCAAAAGCATATTCTATGAAATGTTAGAACCAAGAGCAGTCACATGTGCCTTACAGTGGAGTCACTGGAGCAAGACCCTGAAGACATGGCTTCAAAACCTTCCTTTGCTTCAGGCTCCCTTTGTGTTTTTGGGCATGTCAAAGTTCTCTCACTGTTCCCATCTATAAAACAGGGAGGATAACAATCACTCACTTCTTTGGGGTGCTATGAAATAATTTAATAGGCAATGGTGTGCTTGCTTCCACTTGACTGTACATCCTTAACTCTTATGGTTGCACATTCGAACCAGGTAGCTACGCATATAAAAGGCCTAGCCTGGAGATGATGCTGAAAATGGCCCTAGTTTGCATGTGCAAGTGAAGTATGTCATTATGTGCATCTCTTCCACATGCAGTTGCATACCTGCCTTTAGTCAGGAAAATATCTGCTTCACAGTCTGGTAAAAACAACAATGACTACTTGAATTTTAGTCAGTTCAGAAAATATAGCGAATGTAACTGCAAGTACTGCGTAGTTATAGTTCTAACAGTTTAACTGGTTTCCAGGTTTTAGAATTCTTTTTCTTTCTTCCACTGCTATGTGGACTTTTTACGCAAACAGCAAGAGAAGTAAACTGATGAGAACAGATAACCATGTTTTACAGGGTCAACTCTGCTGAAGGAAAACAAATGTTTTAGTGACAACTGCAACTTTCAATGAATTGGTTGTTTTTAAAAAAAATCTGGGAAAATCAGAATGGAAAATGCTGCTGCAAGCTAGCGTTTCAAAATGAAATGGCATTGGTCTTTCTGAAATATCAATTTGATGTGATATCTTAAAATAAGAAATGTCATGCCAACAAGTTGGATTGTTTCATTCCCATCAAACACATTTTGTTTTGACATTTCTGTGGAGTAAATTTTTGGAATTTTTCATGCCACAAACTTTTCGTCTTCCCATTCTGATTCTGCAGCAGTTTGCAATAGGTCAACACTTCCCACTAGACAGCAACTCCATTGCTTTTGCACATCCAGGACTAACTGCAGGGGAATAGAAAAATGCATTACAAACAGATTGCTGAATAGCTACACTCAATACACAGGCAGGAATAGAGAAAAACATTTTCCTTTTATCTTTCTCTGTCTGTCTAGGATAGTTCTCTGTGACTTGTACCCATGGAGAATATTTCAGATGAAAGCAGGATATTTAAATTTTCATTGTGAATAGAAACTTATATTTTAATTACACAATTGTTACAAGGCCACCTGAACTTGTGGACAATGTGGGGTTATAGTCACCAGGCTGTGTAGGATAGATTATGCAACAGTCCTGAATGCTACTTAGTTTCATATTTGCTATACCAGAATAGAGCAATAATCTTCACTTTCAACATACTGAAGTCACATCTTGTTTACCCTAAGCTTCATTATTTGAAAAATAGGCTTAGCTAAATCAAAGCTGTGCTTTCCTGGCATTCAGTAAGTACTATGGAAATATCCTGGCCATCCAGATCCTTTATTATCAGTGTTAGTAGCATTAATTTGTTTGCTTGATTGCCCTTCTGCAGCTGTCTCCCTACTGGGCTCCCCAAGCCCTTTACCAACATTACATGCATGAAGTCCTGGAACCAGGTGTGAGAAGATCTGAGCTGTCATACATCACCATGGTTTGAGGACAGAGGAATGGGAGCTGTCAGATGGCAATCAACTGCTCTTTATTTTAGTTTTTTTCTATCTGTAGTGCAGGGGAAGGATGTTGTGAGCCCTCTGGCCACATCCATAGTTTGGGTAAATTGAGAAGAGTACTCTGACTGCAGTGAAATCAGATTTACACCCCTAGCAGATCTCTCAAACCCTCCCTGGTGGTATCTGGTGTTAGTCCTGAATTACTAAAAGGGACACAGGCACAAGAAGACCCCTCATCTTTGTGTAGGAGAACTCTGTCTTTTCATCCCTGGGATCCACTTGGCCCTTCCCTCTCCAAGAGGTCTGGTAGCAGTCAGGGCAGACTCTTGGGTGGCTCTCAGAGGGACCTGCTCCTGAGGTAGTGACTGGCAGCGCTGCCCATCCCCACGGTGCAGTGGGCTCTGCCTGCACTCCTGCCCACCGGAGCCTTCGTACTCTATGTCTTGCTGTGTCTCATTTGGTAAATGAACTGATTGATTTAGTTTTCACAAAAGAAATGCATCTGAGCAAAAATAATTGATCATAATTTTGCCCTGGTCTACCTGATGAAGATGTGAGCGATTGGTTTTCTTTTCAAACTAAGTGTCAGTTGATATTAGTACATACATCTTTGGAATAGACATCTGGCTCTGGGATTTATTTAATAAACCTTCAGTCATTAGCAGTTCCATGAAACCTGACATACTTCAGATAAAAAAGCCGAAGACGCTTCAGCCTGGATAGTCACACACATGTAAGCAGTAGCCACAAGATGAGTGTAAAGTTAGTCATCTCCTAGACAAGTGAGGAAACAGTGGGAAGGTTGCAGCATCCGTTTCCCTGGCCTGCACCCCAGAATGTCCGGGCCTTGGAGCTGACTGGCTGCCATTGCACTGGGGGGCATGTCCTTGACTCTCATTGTGAAGGAAATGCAATGTGATAATCTACTTGATGTGGCATTGAAGCTTACCCCAGTTGGCTTGAGGACCCCTGTGGGCTGACTAGATCTGCACTTTCTTTGGAGAACATTTAGCTTCTATCCAAACTAACCTGACAGTGTCCCTCCTGAGACGTCTCAGCCATAAAAATTCTCTTCTGACCTTCCTCCCCTCAAAAGTCTTCATTCTTCTCCTCTGTGGACATGTCCTGCCCCAGCTGTAGGCCAGGTGGAGCTGCGGGAGCTGGTCTGAGCCAGCAGACCAGAGGGGCTGGCTGGCACCGGCGTCGCCTCTGCACCCGGGTGGCCGTAGGCACCTTTTGTACTTTGCTTTCCCTCTCCTGAGAGTGCTAGTTGCATCCCAGGGCCTTTTGATGAGTGAGACACTTTGGTATCCTTAGGTGACCCATGCAGTCACGTGCCTTGGGAAACCCTTCCTTGTGATTTTAAAAAGATCATTGAGGGCTGAGGTTGTTCCCAGCTTCTTCAGAAACATTTTTTCTCTAGCTGCTACCCCAGCTTTAGGGTATGGCTGACCTCTTGCTCGGCAGCAGAGCACGTACAGCTCTGTCACGTAACGCTGGGCTCCCACGGGGCTGCTCCTTGCTAGGCTGAAGGGCTCCTTTCTCCTTCTGTCAGCCAGGCTACGCCAAGCCAAAGGTCACATTTTAAAATAATTTCCTCAATTCACAACGATGCTGAGTAGCAGTGACAGGTGCCTGCTCGAATGATGCTAAAGCCTTGAAAAATAGTGGCAAGCCTCATATGGGGGGTAACTTTATCCGAGGCTACAGAGGGGGATTGCTGGTCATGATGTGCAGCTGGTAGCTCTGCTCTCCCAGTGCACCTTCTTCCTCTTTGCTCCACCACCACTTCATCAGGAGCTGCTTTGTCTTTGAAAAGGCAGGAAATCTTGATCTCAGATTCACCTTGTGTGTGTTTTTCCTTGGTGCCAGGGGTCAGCCTCAGCCCCACTGGCACCACTTCAGGCCAGTCTGCAGCCCTGAAGTTGTGTTAGCTCCTTGAAGGTCTCCCTTCTTAGGAGTACCCTGGGCTGCCCCATTCACCCCAACCCCGTGCACAGCTCTGCTGTCGTTACTGCTGTGCTGGCCATGTGAGTGCTCAGTGTGCCAGGGTTTAGAAGATAAAGTAGTTTCTCATGGGGAAAAAAAGCAGGAATTTTCATCCCAACTGATACAAATAAGGGAAGAGATGGAGTAAGATAAAAATTTGCATGGCCATTTGTCTGTATTTTAACTCAAAGCCTTTAATGGATTCTGTGGTGTTCAAGTGACACTTTTTTCCCCCAGAATTTCTTCATTTTCTGCATCATTTTCTCTGGCTTTCATCTAGGGCTGAAAAGAGACAAGACATGATTAGAACTGGATAAAACATTTTCAACAGGACTGGCTTCCATAAAAAGCCATTCTGCCAAAATAGAAGAGCTGTGTGAAAATCTGTCAGTTTAGATAAAGACAGTAGCAGGACAGCCTGGGGGCAAGAGGGGAGGATCCAATGTCAGCTATTGAACTGATGCGTATATCTCATTCCGTAGGGCTCACTTCTATGATGAAGAACAGCTTAGGAGAGATGGTTACCACCACCCTGTCTATGCCATGGCGCTTTGCTGAGTGAGAGGGTAGTCCTGCCCTGAGAGGATGTGAATATTGGGAAGGCTTGAACAGAGCCTGGCCTGGAGAAAAAGCATGGAGAACCTCTGGGAGCAGCAGTCCTCCATGAAGTGCCTTAGTGAAGCAAGGAGGTTAAGAGGTCATGAAGTCCCACTCCCTGAGTTAGGTGGGGGATCCAGCATATACAAGAGTTACAGGATTAGCTTGTGGCTGCTGAGCAGCCTCATGGGTGTAGCTCAGGCCTTGTCCTGAGCTAAAATGACAAACAATTGGTTAAAAGTGTAAAGCAGGTTTTCAAAGCAGCTTGTAGCAGCACGGGTGCCGAGAACAGGTGTTGGAGCTTGCCCCGTAGGGCTTGGTTCTTCACAGATGCAGGACTAATTTGGCACCTGATTTCCCAGGCTGGTAGTTCACACAGCAGCTGACAGTGGGCACGGCTGGGATGTCTGGAACGCGTTCACTGTAGGATCAAGTAAACTCTGCTCTGTCTGACAAAGAAGCAGTTGCCAGAAGGCCCTTTGAGTGCAGACTACAGCTTTGAAAATTAATGCTTGTTATGTGCCGAAATCCTGGGCAGCTCTCGCTGAGAAGCCTGTGGGCAAGCTGTTCAGAAAGCCAGGTTTGCTTTCCATTAGCTGGTGGGGAGTAGTAGGCTAAGAAATATGGGGTGTGAGGATCACAGTGTGAAGTCCTCGTGGATCTGGGTCTGCTGTGCAAAAGCGTGTTTTCCCTTCCAGGTGGCTAAGAACCTGAATGAAGTGGCATTTATATTCCCAGGAATCAGATGCCTGTAGCTGTCTGTTTTGAAGTCAGGGAGAGGAGTTAGAGCTGCCAATGGTGACAAATACCAAAGGGGTGGAAGTTTTCCCCTTCTCTAATAACTCATGCTCATGCAACCCAAAGCCTCTACCATTCAAGGTCGGGGGAGCTGCAGGTGTCCCAGCTCTGAGATCAGGGCAGCCATTCTTCACTGCCCCCTCCAGCACTCAGAAAGGGCTGCAGTCTCCCAGAGGCAACTTTTACCCTTCATTTTTCCAGATCCGGCCTAAACTGCCATGCATTTGAGTACTGCCTCCCCCTCCATTGCCAACACCCCTGCTCGCTTCACTCCTTCCGGAGCTCTGACTCTTGTGTCACTCTCTGGGGTTATGTAAAAGCATGGTTTGTGGTTTCCCATAAGCCAAAGCAGCTCTTGACTGCTTGTGTCCACACACAAATAGCAGGGAAACATCCCTACCTGGACAGTCTTAGATCCTCAGGAGGTGCCCTTGGGTAATATGAGCACAGGTGAATGACAGAAAATGTTTGGCTGGAATAAATGTTGCAGTAAACTTCTGTGAAATACTACTGGGCTAAGCAGTGTATCTGTACATACATGATGCTTTATCCAGTACATTTGGAAATCCTGATCAAACTATCAGCCTCTTCTCTTTCTCTCCTAAGAAAAAAACATCCATGGGTGGAAAAGATGATAATCCCAGAGAGCTCTATACAGGACAAAGAGTCCCCACCTCCCCCGCTCCCCCAAAGATTATTTCTTGGGCTGAGGAGCTGATAAAGAGCAGGTGAACATGAAAAGCAGCATGAGAAAAAAACCTCCAGGACAGCACAGGGGAGCAGGAATAGCAGTGGTCATAGCAAACCAGTAAAGCAAACGAGTGGAGTTCAGTCCTGCTTCTTTGATATAAAGGGGGACTTTATCCCTGATTTTTGTGATACTTGGGAACAGAATCCTGGGAATTGCAAACATTTGCTATATATCACCTCCTCTCTCCCGCTGCTAGCTGCAAAGCATTTCTGCTGCTCTTCCTTGGAAAAAGAGGATTGCATGTAGTGTGGTTGCATATTTCTGCCTCTTTTGCTATTTTTCCATCTCCCTGTTCCCCAGCCACAGCCCAGTTCTGGCTATGAAATCCTTTGCCTCATGAACCATTTTCTTCCAGCAGCTTTTGTAGACATTTTCTTTGGCACGTACAATCCCCCGATGACAGCTGCAGTTTTGGGGAGGCTTGAAACATCCTAGTGACCTGTCCTGGTGCCTCTTGAAGTCAATGAGGTTTGAGCTTGGTTTCCGAGGGGGCAGGATCCAAGCCAAAGTGTTTGCTTTCCAGGTAGAAGAATATGAAGAATCAACCCTGATCTCTCACCTCCTTTCTTTTTCTTCATCTTTGCAGGAATGGACATATACATACAACCACCAAGTCCGCCAGCAGCAGCTGTGCTTGTCTGTGTACACCCTCTTCCCCGGTTCCCAGGTGCTGCTGTCACCTTGCAAAGAAGGTGACAACAAGCAGGTGAGTCCTTTCATTGATCCCCCATTTTCTTTGAAGTTCCCTTTCTTTCAGCGTAGTGTTATTGCACATCAAGTTCCCTGTGTGCTCTGACTTCCTCTGGGAAGTACAGTCTATCTGGGAGTACAGGCTCTGGCCTGTTTGGCCCTTTGCCTCTTAAATGAGTGTGTTGATAAGGATGTCTATTAGTGCGGGTGGTGATCTGGATACTTATCTGCAGCAGGCAAACCAAAACTGGCAATTTAGTTCACACGGGCTGCCAGTCAGCCAGCAGATGCTAATATTTCTCTGCAGTTAATCACTGAGCTGGCATTTGAACCAGTGACCTGGGGAAAAAGCTGTTAGTAATATATTATCTTCCTGAAGCCAGGCAGAGGCTGAGCTTAAATGAGCGTGCTTCTGATGGGAGAAATGCTCAGCATGTGCTCTGCTGGGTGTGGGCTGGGGGACCCTGTACTTCCCAGCATCAGGCCGCAAAGGCTTAGTGACGACTGTTCTCTTGATGCTGGAACAGTATAGTAAAAGCATAATGAGGAGGAAGCCTGTTCATCCCTGTTTCTCCTCTCATGTGTGTATCTCTCCTCAGCGTTGGGGCAAAGTTGGGTCACACATTGAACACATAGCTTCACGCTTCTGTTTGGACACGGAGACGATGGGGGACACGAACGAGAGCACCAAAGAGCTTGTCATCAACCCTTGCGAAAGCACAGCCATGAGTCAGCGCTGGGACATGGTGATGTCTTGACTTGCTTGAGGACTTACACAGCAGGGATGGGCACTGAGACGTTGCTACACGCAGCCAAGATGCACCAGATGGAGCTCAAATGCAAAACCATTGGGGGTCCTTGTGTATTGTGGGACAGGAGAAGAATCATTCAAATAAAAATAAGGACATGGCGCTCCAGGTTGAACAACGGATGTTGTCTGCAGGGCATGTAGCCATTATTGGCCTGTTTGCGGTCATACATTCAAAGAGAAGGGATGGCAAAAAACCAAACTTGAAATGTTTTAGAGGGATGCCAGGGCTCCTGTGATGGGCCCTGCAGAAGTTTGGTGTGCACAGCCAATTTATTGGTTATTTATTAATCTCTCTGGAAACACAGGTAGAAGAGCCTTGGAGACCAAAAGGAGACTTGGACTCAGCAAAACAAGCATCTCAATAGCTTTTGGGGGGTGAGGCAGGTGTGCAAGGAGGGACGTGCCAAGGGATGCTAGGAAACATCATTGGGCATCAAGTGGAAAACACTGAATTATCTTTGCACTTTTCGTTGCTGTGGATGAGTTTGTCTTCTGCAGACAGTGTGGGTGGAGCCGTGTTGCACGTTCGAATTTGTATCTGATCCACATACATGTTGTGTATACAGAAAAAGGGCAGTCATTTATGGCTGTGGCCAGGATCAAACCAGCAAGTAACAGGGGAGTCCTGCTCTGTGCTAACTGCACATCAGGGTTGTTGAATCTCCAAAGCCCAAGCAAACAGAGGATTCAGTGTGTGAGATTAAAGGATACAAACAGCTGGGAGGAAAGGCAGTAACATGATTATTTCTTCTCTCTGAAGGCCATGGATGAACCTCCGTCACTGAAAACTCCCCTATAATCTCACTATGTGTCTTTCACTGCTTCAGATATGGAATAAGTCAAAATTTTCACTTTTCTTCCATAAAAGTAATATTTTTGGTAATTGAAGGTAATTGTGTCATATTTGTGTTTCCCAATTTTCTGGCTACAGAAGAGAGAACTCCCATGAAGTGCTGCTACCAAAGGAACGGAGGAGGTAATTAAAACTAGAGACTGCTCTGAGAAAGAAAAAGGGATATTACCTGGTTTTGCTTCCCAGGTATCTTGTAGCCCAAAACGTGACGTACTGAAGAAAAGGTTTGGATTCCCCCAGTCACACCATGTGTCACAAAGTACCTCTCTCCCAAAGTCATTTAGAGTAGGCAGACTTGGCACACGTGATTTCTTCAGGTTTTGGAGATAAGTCATTAACCAGAGGTCATGTCAGGTGCAATGGCTAAGTGGGAGTGAGGTGACTGCCAAAGGAGAATAGGAGAGACCTCAGAAGAGGTCTTAGGAATAGGAGAGAACTGGAAAGTCCTTTCCTAGCAGCCCTTTAGAGCAGCTCCCACTACAGCAACAGGTAACAGGCAGTGAATCACCAAGAGCTGCACACACAGCTCTTGTGTAGTAACAACTCTTGAGGAAAACTTTTGCAAGACGATCAGTGTGACTTTGAAAAAATACAGTTTGTCTCTCTCAAAATGCTAGGGCTTAATGAAAATCCTATCCTTTGTTCCCTGTGCTGCAAACTATAGGTAAAATACCACAAGCTTTGAGCCTTCAAGTGCTCTCAGTGTCCCTTCTTGAATAAATTGCTGGCTTTCAGGTTTTTACTGCCTCAGTTTCTCCTCCCTCAGTGCTGGGAGAAAGACGTATGTGTAAATCTCCTCAGCTTTAGAGGCAGAACCAGTGTAACTATTTACAAAAGGTTGCAGGGTATAAATGCTTTCTGTGTGCTGCAGTGATTACTAACCTAATCAAACTCCCTTGGTGCAAACCTCAAGGGCTTCTGTTATGAAAGGGATGGAGCAAGCTGTCCTTCTATGGTGGGAGATGGCATTGTTTCCATTGTTTCCATGTTTGTGCAGGAAACAAAGGGAAGCACTTAAAACGGAATGGACCCACTTCACAAAGAAGGGTAGTGATCTTGGGCTCCTTCTATTTAATTGAACTGGGGAAATATCACACCTACTTTTCATACTGGTGATGACAGGCAAGTGGTAATAATTCCTTGTCTAGTGCTCACATGGGGAAGCGGCTCCCAAGAGCTTGCAGCTCAACATGTTCACACCTGTACTGTGCCTGCAGCCCAGGACTGCCCAGCTGCTGGCACTTCAATTCTGCAAATTCAAATAGCCAAACAACTTGGCATCAGTTTTGAAGTCCAGCACCTGGTGGGTCCACTCTGACCAAGACCTCAGACCTATCTAGTTTTATTATTTTCCACTTAAGCCAAAAATATCCATTCTGCTGATAGCCAAAGCTCTCTAAACGGGTAATGCTCTTCTTTGCCTTAGCAGAAACAGCTACCTCACTACACATATGTGTGCTCGAGCACACGGACCCATGGGACCTGCAGGGATGTATTCTAAGTTGTTTGACCAACTTTTCAGCTCTCTTGCACTTTTGTGAAACCTAAAAGCTATACCAAACCCCTCCTATTCCAAAACACGCGCTAAGGTGATCCCTGTGAACTTGTTCAGGGGCGGCAGAAGGCAGGCAGTGGGGAAGGTGACATCAGGCATGGTGTCCCCTACAAGTGGGTAGTATCATTCAGCTAAGTCTCTTGCAGGCCCATAAGCCACCAAGTACCTAACAGACCTGGGGAGCAGCAGCCACTCGGCAAACTGGTGGTTGTGTCTCACATATCCATCGGCCATAACCCTTAGACTGCAGCTTGTTTCACGGTCCAAGATAGGAGATTAGCCCTATGGATCAGCAGTGTTTTTGGAGAAGCCTGAGGGTATCAGCCTGCCTCCTGAGAAGCTTTACATAAGCAGGCAGTAGACTGGCAGTCTCCAGAGTTAGCTCCAATATGGTATTTAGCAAATATTCTGCTTAGCGTCCCTGCAAAGAGACCTTGCATCATGTCAGGGGAAAGGTTAACTGCTGCTGAAATCCGACTCACACCTTCAGGTTTATTTCACTTATTAAAATACACCAGAGACAGATGAACCTTTTTTGCTTTGTATTTGTTACTTGCCTAGACATTTATTATCATGCTGTGAACAGATATACGTGACATTGATAGATGTATCTAGATGGGCTCCTATGCCTATACCTCTTACACCCTAATGTCACTTGGTAGTAATGCTTTTTGGTAACGTTTTGCACTGACTTGAAAGAACAGAAGATAAAGTAGGAAATACGGTTCTAATCCTGGCTGTTGAGCTTTGTGACAGCCTTTATGATCTCCAGGTAAGTCACTTCTTGTGCCTTGGGAAAATTACATTCAGAGCAGGAAACAAAGGGCTAGAACTACTACCGCCTTTTAAAGATCCAACCAAGGCGATGCAAAAAAAACCAAAAAAGCACCTTAACCTTCTTCCCTCCTGAAGGAGATCCATGCTCCAGTGAGAACAAATCTACCTGGTTTTAGTTGGGCTGGGGAAGTCTTACAGTCCCTACCTTGCTGCTTATGTGATTTCCAGGTATTTTGTGCTTATCTTCTCTCTGTGCCAGTGCAGTGCCATGAGAACAACACAAAGCATCAATGCTTGGAACCTCAGCTTACAACATACTGATGTAGTAATTTAGTAGTAAAGAGATGGAAACTGAATTCAAAGATCTTCGATTATCCAGTGAGGCAACAGGAAGATGGGGCTGGTGGAAGAGTACTGGAGGACTGTGGTTCAAGACAAGCACCAGCCCTGAGTGCTAACCCCTTCTACTGCTTCTAGGAGCGACTTGGGATAGCTTACTTCATTTCCCTGCCTCAGTTTCCCAATTTTTTAGTGCGGACTGAATGTTTTGAACAGAGAGAAAGCCAAGTATTAGTTTTTGTTGCGTGGAATACTGGCAGTACTGGACTGGCAATGGACTGGCAATCTCTGGAGTTAGCCCCATGGTCCCTTATCTGCCTGTACAGGGTCTGGTTGGATGGAGTTAATTTTCCTCATAGCAGCCTGTATGGTGCTGTGTTTTAGACTGGTGACCGAAACAGTGTTGATAACACACAACAATGTTCTAGTTATTGTTGTGCTTGCACTGTGTCAAGGCCTTCTCCAGCTCTCACTCTGCTTCCCCAGCAAGTAGGCTAGGGTTGGCCAAGAGGTTGGGAGGAGACACAGCCGGGACAGCTGACCCAAACGGACCAAAGAGATACCCCATACCATATAATGCCACGCTCAGCAATAAAATTGGGGCAGAGTTTTTCCACAGTAGGTGTTGCTGGGAGACTGGCTGGGCATCAGTCTGCAGGTGGTGAGTGACTGCCTTTTCGTTACTTGTTTTCTTTCCCCCCTGCCTTTTCCTTCACTTACTGAACTATCTTTATCTTGATCCACAAGTTTTTCTCACTTTTGCCTTTCTGATTCTTTCCCCCATCCTGTTTTGCGGGGAGTGAGTGAGTGATTGGGTAGGGGCTTAGCTGCCAGCCAGGGTCAACCCACCTCACTGCCCTAAGCAAACCAGGGTCTGCAGTGTAGCTGGCTGGTATTCTTCACAGCTTGGACACTGGTAACAACTGTGCAATAGGATCTGCGCTGCTCAAATTTCAGATCTTAAAAGCTTTAGTGAAAAGCTGTGAGCTAGAATTGTTTGTAGAACTGGTAAAGGAAGCAAAATCAAGCAGATTACAAACTGCTGATGATCAACATACAAGCAGCAGAAAAAACTGTAGCTCATTAATGTTCTGGCTAAATTAATTTTGAATGATCAGTCCAGATCCAGTTTTAGTATTATGTGGCTGGTTTAGATGGCTGAAGAGTTTAAGGAAGCCTGGTACAGGTGTCCAGCTTACACTGAGACTTAGGGGCTGAAATCCAGTGGAATGGGCTCTGTTTTGGGACCAGCCTTGTTTAATATCTTTATCG